GGTTTCATGTTTTTAACCGTACCTATCCTGAAGTCTGACGTGATCTCCCGCATTTCCCTCATGAGGTCAGTGCCAAGGTTCTTCACATTTTCCAAATCATCTTTCATGGAGAACGAGAGGTCCATAAGGTAATACAAGTCGATGGGGTAATCCTCAGCACGCTTGAATTTCAGGTCAAAAGTCTGTGGCTCACCTTAAAGGCAAAAGCAGAGCATTGTTAGTTATTAGACTAACGACAAGATTCCTGTTTTTACTGGAAAACCAGATTTACACTTAAATACAAAAAGGTTGGAAACTAAAGATAATTTAAGGGGGATGGTCTCAAAATCTTTTTACCATCTTTGGAAATTTAAGTTTGCGTCATGCCAGCTTCTTCAAACTGATAAAACTATTAAAATTATTCTTGTAAATTTCTGATCTTTTCCAGTCCACCGGCTTTAAAGTGGCTAAAGGTGAGACTGACACAAATATAACGGCTTCTAAATCTAAACTGCTTTGACATTACACCACACTATACCAACTATGAACCATCAACATATTTACTCCAAATAAAAATTTGCTTTTGTTTTGACCTGACAACAGTTTCAGCAAACTGCCAAAGCATCAAAAGTTCAGGCTATATTGAAAGCCTTTTTAACATAACACAATCTCTAATTACGTTACGGTATTTACACAGCTGTTTTAACTGTGACGAGTAAAAGAAATTCAACCAGGATATCAGAATCAGAATACTTTATTGATCCCTAGGGATCAATAAAGTATGTATATTTACATCTATATTCCTCTGGTTAAAAAAGACTTCAAGGTGACTTCTAGCTCTGTGACCTCAGCAAACTTTGGGCTCAGTCGCTAGTTTCTAGCCCTGAGCCTTCATAATACAGTGGTTTATGCATTTGCCTAAGAAGCAAAAGATCTAAAGTTTGATCCCAGAAGCAGACACAAATCCCCTGATGATGCATTAGGAAGGGCATCTGGCATAAAATGTTGCCACATTAATCATGCAGTAGCTTATGGTCACTACTATCATCCAGGGAACGTTCACTGGCTATTGACTTGCTAATCACAAATATTAGCCCACGAGTTTGCCGTGTCCTTGGTTTCACAATCAGACCCGCCATCATTCATCACATCTGGTTTCAAAATACCAAGATGGCGTCGGTGAAAACACTGAAATCGATGCTCTGTAACAGCTAGCCAATAAATGTAAATATAGTCAGGAACATAGCATCAGCATACACCTGCTTACCAGATCTGAGCGTCACTTTGAGTTTCTGAGGCTGTATCTGTGTGATCTCCTCAGGCTTGAGTTTTACGTTCCCATCCTTGTTGCGAACGGTGACATCTTTGTTCTGGGTAATTTCAGTGCTGCCGCGGGGGTCCTCAATATTTCCGCATTTTTTCTTCTTCAGGTAGGTCACATCATCACAGCGGGCTGATTTGGACTCGCCTTCTGTGAGGAAATTCTGCAAAAAGAAGAAAAGACCATTAGAGAATTACTCCAAATGATTTTCCCACCACAGACCGGGATAATTTTCTTCAAATTGCTTGTGTTTTCCTTTTGGGTTGTATCGTGAAAGGAAAACCACGCTGCCGCAATAACCTAATCAGTGAAAGAATGAATAACAATACATCCTTGTATGTGGCAGA